TGCATTTTTTCCAATGATTTTTGGGGTGCTTCAATATGCAGGTTGGTCTCAGTTGTTGTAATGTGTGTACGTTGTTTCAACGCGTTTTGCTTATTGCTTCACTGCAAACTCCTTTGGTTGGTCTGATTATATTATCATAAAAAACTTAGAAATAATATTTTTATTAAAATTTTGATAAAATGTATTAAAAATACTTTACATGTTTTCATAAAATAATTATTTTGTAAATTCTTGATCGATGTTTTAGTAACATTGATTAACATTTGTCTTGATAAATATTATTGTGTATTATTAAATTTTAAGCTTAAATTTAAAAAAGCATCTCCACTTATTTACTGACATAATTAAATAAAGTATTAATAGTTTTAAATAATTTTTTAATCTTAAATACTAAATCCTAAACTTTTTATTAAAAGAATTTTATATATCCTAATAAATTGTTTAAATTTTTTTAATAAGTAGTTCATTAAGTAACTTATAAAAATAATTAAATTAAAGTAACTAAAGATGAGAATGATTTTTTTTAATTATAATAAAATAAAATTAATAATAAATTGTTTTAAAATAATATTATATTGAGTTGTTTTTACTGAATATATCCTAATATACTTGTTTTATAGATTTATCTTTATTTAAAATATTATAAAGTTTATAAATTGATATTTTATTTTATGATTTTTGCAAATTTTACGTGTCTTTATTGAATTCCTAATTATTTATTGATCTTATTATTCGTAGCAAACATGTTCACCTTTTTATTATGTTTTTAATTTTAATTTATACAAATTTAAGATATAATTATTAAATTTTAAATTATGAATTATTAGACACAAATAAATATAAGATAGAGAGGTTTTTAAAAAATATAAAAACATAAAGAAAAATAATAGTTTTTATTGTTTTTATTTACTATTTTATACTTGAGAGAAAAATAAAAAAAAATTAAAAGAAGTAGAAAAAAGTATATAACATAAATATACATTATATATTTTTTAAACATTTTACAAATAATATAATTTTACTCTAAATAACACATATTATATCACATTACTTTTAAATAATTTATACTAAATTTTTATAATGATAATTTTTATAAATATTCATATTTTCACAATATTTTTATTTATATGTCAGCTTTTCACAATTTAAAAATAATCTAATTATTATAATTAAATATTAATTTAATATAATATTTTAACTAAAAAATAATTAGTAAATTTACACATTTTGTATATGTATATATAAACACTCTCTATTAAATTCAAGAGTTTATTTCTTTAAAGTAACGTTACATTTCCTGTACCAATCTAATTGTTCACAAGATTAATCATATCTTATTAAACATAAAATCATTTATATGCAGTACTCTTATAACATAAATTCGGTTATAAAAAGAAAATCATTTATATATTATCCTAATGAAGAAATATAAAATGATAAGAGTGATAAGACAAAAAAGGTTAAGGACTCAATTTGGTCTAAACATGGGGTAAAGAATGGCTGACTCGGTCGTGCATTCTTTGACTTTGGAGGCATCACACAGACACACACTCCCCTACTCTATCTATGTCTTAATCTCTCTTACGCTAAAGTGAAATCCAGCTTCGCTTCCGGAAATTGCGTAATTTGATGACCAATGGTCTCATAATTTTCACACTTTTGGGTCAACCTTCGTATTCAATGCATTCATCACCAACTACTCAATCAACTCAAACTTTTTTTCTTCCATTTCTATGTACTCTTTCGTATAGATTTTTTTTAAAGAGAATAAGAAGATATTATAAAGACAAAATAAGATAGGTGAGTGTGTAAACTTGAACAAAAAGATTTGGATGGGTAACTTGGAAACCGCAAATTTGTTAATAAATAAGGGGTAAAAAGGAAAGGGTGAGACTACAGATGTAATTTGTGATAAGGTGGTGTAAAAACATGAGGGTCTTTTAGTTTTATGGTTGGGTTTGTAAGGAGCAACAGGGTGCTTTTTGTGTCTAGTACAGAACAAAACGTGCCCCACTTTTAAGAAAAAGAGATCTCTCCAAAAGCATTTTCAAGATTGATTTTCAAAAAAGAAAAAGGAGTACATCATAAGCCTTGCCTCACAAATCCCCATAAAGTTATCTTAAATTTTTTTAAGAAAGGGGCCAAGGGTAGGTCCTGTCCTTCTTCTTTGCCCACGCCTCATCATTTCTTGGTTTTTGTGGTTTCTCACCCTCTCTTTCATTAATATAATTGAAATGTTTTATAAGAAAATAAATAAACCAAATTGTATGAAAGAAAATATCGTGAAGATATGATAGACAAAATTTTATATCATCTATGAAATAATTAATAATATGAACGAAGCATAAATAACTTTTTTGATAATTATTAGATATTTTAGTATTAAAATTATATTTGTTTGAAGTAAAAGTGGAATACGTTATTTATTTATTATTTCTCAATTATTTATAAATATATTTTTTATAAATATATTATGATTATCAAATTTAAGATTATATTAATATTTTTATTTTTAATTATATTTTTTATATAGAAAAGAAATAGTAAGTTATTTAAGGATATTTTAATTAAAGAAAAAAATCAAAATGATAAAAAGATTACTAAATTTATTAATAAATTCATTAAAAATAATAAAAAATTAATATTTATCAACCAATAACTGTTATACGGATAATTACTTTGACATTTTTAAAACAGCTGCATTTGTCACTAATAGAATTATAATGATGTGTTATTATATTTTTATCATTTATTTGTAGAAATATAATTGTTAAAATATCATATTTTTTATAATTAATTTTAAAAAAATTATTTTTTCTTTTTTAAATATATTTATTTTTCTCACATCAGTTGTATTATATTATTTTATTTTATATATTTATTAAATATATAAATCATAACAAATTTTTTTATTTATAATATTTTTCATGAAAAAACAATAAAATTTATTTTTTTATTTAACTTGTTTATCTTTAATTTTTGTTAATATTTTTAATCTTGTAAATTCTTTTATTTTATTTTATACTTAATTCTCTTTACTTTAATTGAAATTACATTAGTTTATTTTTCAAATCATTATATTACATTAGATAATTTATCTTTCTGTAATTTATATTATTTAAAAGTTGCTTCTGTACTCTGTTTTATATATGCATTATTTATTTAATTTCCAAATGAAACTTTTTGTTTTACTTTAAATCTTAATGTTTTTATAATAAAATTATAAAATAACAAAAAATGTTATGTTTTCCTCCTAGTTTTTAATCAAAATGATAAAATTTTGCATAAATATAAAATTTAATTCTTATAAAAAATTTTAACTATTTGGTAGATGTGATAACTAAGTTTATCAACATGTATTGTAACTTTGATGAAAAAATTGTAATGTGTGTGAAAATGACATAATATCCTTCCAAATGGAAGAGGAATTATTGCACTCAAATGAATTAGCAAGCAATGAAATAGTAATACATTGATATCAATAATTGATGCTTTATTTTAGATAATTAACCAGTGATGCTTAATTAAAGTAGTAAAGCATCATTGATGATTCCAATGTAAACACTGTTTTAATTTTAAAGATTCCAAAAGTGATTTTAATCATAAAAGTAATTAATGCATTGATAAAATTTATAACCATTTTATATTTAGAAACAAAATATTATATAATATATTTTAAGAGAGAGAGAAATAATAAAGTTGAGAATTTATTATTTATTAAGTTTAAAATATTTTCATTTAAGTTTGAAAATGACGGGATTAATTAAGACTAAAATCTTAATTTTTGATGTTTTAAAATTTGTTAATTTTATCACAAATTTTTAAAGGTGTCTTGATAACTTAAGAATGAAGAATGTTCATTATGAATATTAAAAAAAAATGATCATTTTAAAAAACTTATAAATAAAAAATAAGAATGTATTATGAATATCGTGAATTACATAGAATATTAAAATTTATATATATAAATATATTTTGTTAATCTTAGACCACTTTTATATATATATATATATATATATATATATATATATATATATATAATATCATATTTTTAATTAATTCAAAAAGAGCTTTCTTTAAAAATAATTATAATTATCCTTGATAACAATTAAAACAAAATATAAATCTTCTGATTGATACTATAATACAACCTCAATGTTTTGATTTAAACTCTGTTGATAGTGTTAGATCAATGTATTTGAAGTATTAAAACTCAATTGTGACCATATTATAATTATTTATTCATTAAAACATATAAACAAATTATTTTCCAAACAAGGAATAAGTGTGTCATTTATGAGTATGGATAACAACAATTTTGGATTGTAGAAAATGAATTAGAAAATAAGAACAGTCTGTGTATTATATAGCATGGGGCCTTAACCTGATAAGGTGTAATAATTGCAATATTTGTATTTCAGTTATTTTGTTTTTGGTGTAACAAGCAACAATATAGCCTAGTTTCCATCGCATTCAATCATAGGATAGGAGCATCTAGCATTGCCAACCTGCAATTCAATTCTCATTTTCAATATCTTCCCTTTCAATCTCTTCATTCTTATTAGAAATGGATAATTTTTCAGCATTATCTCCCCTATATGATATGATTATTAAGATTACGAAGAAATATTATCCACTTTTAAATTTTAATTTATCACATAATAAGGAGAGTGCAGATAAACGAAAGTGCGAGCAGGTCTTCTTCTCGTAAATCAATAAAATAACTACCTAATTATGTTTAATTCCATTAATATGTTAGCTACTACTCTTACTATCTTCAATTCCTCATCCTTTATAATTCAGGATATCATATAACAATAATAAAATTACATTATTTGCATTAATCAACAAACTTAACTACCTTAACAAAATTACCAAACTCCCACAGAACCCCACAAGACCAAAGCCCAAAGCAAAGGGACCAAAAAAAAAGGAAAAAAAAAAAAAGTCCTGTTCCTAGAGGGAAGGAAGAGGGCGTGGAGCCACAAGAAACGAGAGGATCAGTGATCAAGCGCATTAGGTCCAGTACAGTAATTGAGAACGTGGCTCCACACCCACTGAACAAGGAACCTCCGTCTGATGCCGTTCATGTTATACGTGGCACCATCTCGAGCGTCCAAAAGCTGACCGGTGTAGGAGCCACCGCCACCGGTGCCGTAAATTCCCTCACAGAGATCGGCAATCTCCACAGGAAAAGAGGGGTCTTGACCAGCATACCAAGCATTGGCCAATGGGTTGGTTGCGATCTCGGCCATCTCGTGACCAATCACACTAATCATGCCATCAACCCCAACGTCGCCGTTTGGGGACTTGAAGGGTTTGTGGTTAGGGATATACGCCGGCACAGCGAAAGGATAAGCACACTGCCCTGGACAAAACTTTGCGGAGTTACCCACCCATGCGTACGGAAGAGTATACCCAACCAACGATGGAAAAGTGAAGTAATGGAACCCACACACCGAAGTGCAGAAATCCTGAACGTACACGTCATCGGCGGTCAGCAGCAGATATAATCCGCTCCGGGGGTTGATCGGCAACGGCCGAGTTTTTGCTGTGATGGCGCTTTTAATTACAGACTGTATTGATAACCTGGTCAGTGATTTCCCGTGCGAATAAAACCGGTCGTTTTTCTCTTCCCCGAGTTTAACAGATTTGGAAATGTTTGCTCCGGTTTGGTCTGTGTAGAGCTGCACGGTGCGCCACCATCCCGCCACGGATGGGTGTGGCGAGTTAGTGGCGGAGATTGAGTTAATGAACTCGCGGATGATCTTCTTTTGGTTCCGGTCCCACTTCCCGTACCAGATGGTGTGGACGGTGATGTTAGAGGTGAGAACCGGTCCCATGTGGTACCTCAGCTTAACGAACTCAGAGGACCCCTCGTATTTCTTGGAGTCTCCGAATACATAATCGGTGATGTTCATTTGGTGGTTCTGGGGCCATGGCCGCCATGCCGAGACCGGAGCCGCGGCGAGGAGGAGAATGAAGAGAAAGAGAGGAAAGGAGAAAAGTGCCGTGGATGACGGCGCTAGGGCAGAGAGGCCCTGATACATTTTGAAATTAGAGAGGTGAGGGGTAGTAGCTGGGGTTAGTGTGGGGTGAGAAGTCCCAAGTACGAAACTTGATGTTTCAGTGGGTGAAGGTTCTTTATATTATAATCCAAAAAAGGTTTTGTTTTTTCATTATTACTATTATTTTTCGGGGGAAGTTTGTGCAAGGAAAAGAACAGTGTGAAAGTGGTGAACTGAAGCGGCGTATTTGATTTTATTAGCGAAATTACAAGGTTGTAAATAGGGGATTGATTTAGAAAATGAGTAGTATGTGATGGTGGTGACATTTTTGGCCAAAATGTATTATCAGAAAAGAAAAAGAAAGGAAATTGTTTGTAATTTTGGTGACATTGATTTGCGGGTAATGGAGGACAGTTAGATTCTTAAAGTGAAGGAGGGGTGCGGGGCCCAAGGAGCGAGAGAGAGGAGAGGCATCATTTACATTGATGATGATGATGGTGGTTGTCGTCATCTGATTTCAGATTTCCTCATCCTTTGCGCGGGAAAATGAAGGGTAAGGGTAAGTTGGAGATAATCATACACTAACATTACCACATTGTCACATTTATCCATACCAAATACCAAACACGTAGTACAATACTGGATAGAGTAGAGACATAGATAGAAATGATAATAGAATATGTAGTGGTTTTGTTTTGGTTTGAAAAATTTGAATTTTGAAAAGGGGGACCATTGAAAGGAAAGCGGTGTGGTCCGATGGCACCTATTCAGTGTTGCCCTCTTGGATAACTCTACTTCTTCTATAACTCTCTCTGTCCTTTCTGCTTTTTCTTTCTTTCTTTTTCTTTTCTTTCATCAACTTTAATTTAACTTGGCCTCTTTTTTTTCCTTCTTATATCTTATTTTCAGACATCAAATTTAAACTGTTGGAAATAGTTGGCGGCGAAATTTATGCAGGGGGTGGAAACTAAAAGGAAAAGAGATTGGTGATGATTAAAGTGAAGATGAGATTTGGTTTAGTGAATAAGATTAAGATTGTAGAGGGAAAGGTATTTGTAATTTAGGTTGGCCTCCCAATAGAGATATGTATAGGTTGGCTTGTGGGATTGGAGGGGAATGTCATGTCAGTATCCTTCATATCAGTTGCTGCTACTTTGTTTACTTTATGTGTTACAAAAACTGGATTGATTCCAACAATAACTGAATACATGCAGTCTTTGAACACACCTTATAGGGTGCTTTGTCTCTTCCTCTGTTTTGAATGCAACTGATCACAGTCTTAGAATCACCATCAAAACTGTGCAATTAGGATGATATGCTTGTTTATTGTCTTATCAATTACCCATGTAATTGATTCAATTTAAAATAATCATCATGGTTTTATGATTTTGTAAGAAAATGTGATTTTTATGGAGATATTGAGCAAATGTGAAAGTCAAACAGCTTAATAGGAAGTAGTATCAGTTGCCCAGAGATATTTTGTCCTGGACCAACACCACCAACCTCAACTACAAATCAAGTTCCACGCAAGCTTCAAACAGTTTCCATAGGTTCTCTCACCTAACATTTTGGATTTCCATTGCAATCTGCAATTATTGTTTCATCCCTCTCCCCCTTCAAATGTAAATGTCCTGGCTCAAGCTGCCAACTATTTATCATTTTATTAATGTTTAATTAAAAAAAAACCTTTAAAATCTGACTAGTAGGTTTTACTGACTGGCTTCTCTTTCTTAGTTACATCTCTTCATTTATAAAATTAAAACCTGAGATCTTATTTAACTAATCCAAACTTAACTTATCTGCACCCTATGAACAAATATCATTGGAGTTCCAAAGTATATTTGGAAGAAAATGATGCATCTGACTGCTACTATAAGACCAATCATTTGTATCAAGGAGTAAACTAGAAAGAAAACGAGCAAGAACATTAAAAACAGAGGAAGAATAAAATAAAAATGTTATTTCAATGGCAACATTATAAAGAATTAAAGAAGAATACATTTCTTACTGTTTTTTCATAACCGAGAAGGGGAGTGAAAATGAATAAATCATTTTTATATAAAAGGAATTTTATTTTATACAATTTTGTAACGGTGCTCTTTCTTACATTTATCATGAAACATCTTATTTCCCTCTCCTTTTCTTTAAATATTAATGTTTGACTAAGCTTAAAATAAATCATGTAATTTGGTTTATGAAATCACTATTAGAAAATATACTTTCAACGTCGCTGTTTAACGTCGGTTACATCTTAGCCGACGTTGAACATGCTTTCAACGTCGGTTGGTCAACAACCGACGTCGAAAGTCGAATTTTGACACATTCTACGTCGTTTTAGCATGCACGACGTGGAAAATAGGCTTTTCGACGTCGGTTATGCCCTCACCCGACGTTGAAAACCCTTCTGAACTCATTATGACCGATCAGAATACAAATATGACCGATCAGAATCAAATGTGATCGATCAGATTTTAATTATGAGCGATCAGAATTTTTTCAATCGATTAAAAACACGTTTCAATCGATTAAAATCTCTTAAAGGGTCAGGATGATCGATCAGAATCCAGTTATGACCGATCAGAACTATTTTAATCGATTAAATCTCGTTTCAATCGATTAAAACATATGACTGGAGATAAATCGAGTTTCAACGTCGGGTGTGGGTATAACCGACGTCGAAACCCCGTTTTCCCATTTGAATAGGCTACCATTTTTGTATCTCCCCTTACTCTCCAGCATCGCGCCCACTCCCCTTACTCTCCAGCATCGCGGCCACCACCTACCACCGTCATTTGGACTCTCCGGACGCCCTCCCTCACGTCGCCACCGCGCACCGCGTGACACCCCGCCGCGAGCACCTCCACCCCACTGCAGCTTCCACCCCACCGCGACGCTAGTCGCCCACCGCGACGCTAGTCGCCCACCCTCCACCCCCACCACGGCCTCCACCCACATTGCATTGTCCGCTCACCACGGCCTCAACCCTAACGCCGCATTGCATCGTCCACCTCCACCCGAGTGCAGCCGTCTGCTCGTTTCTCCGTGGTGCGAACCTTCATCGCTGCCTTAAACCACAGGTACGATGTTGTTGCACTTATATTTGTTGGGCAAAGTCATACAATTTTACTTACTACATTTCATAGGTAGAGATTGTTAGTCATTTGCCGTTAACCGTTGATTCAATTCTTAGTCATATTATAGTTTTTTTCAATGTATTGATGATGTGTACAATTATACTTGAACTGCTTGAATATGCCCGTGGGGCTTTTTATTGTCAGGTTTCACTGTGTCATTTAAAATTGTTGCCAAAAAACAAAGGAAACTCTGCCGGATTTTTGTTAGAAATTAATCATGAAGTGTGAATTCTGAAAACTACATATAACAATGTAGTTATATAAGTGATGGTAGTAACAATGAAAACTCTATAATTTCAATTTATACAAATTTGGTTTTGACAAAAAAATAGACGAAATTCTGTTGAAATTTCGTTACAAATTAATCTACTTTGGTATAGATTTCATTAGAGATAACGATTATTAGTATTAATCGTTTTATGGGTTTCTCATTTGTAGACTCCAATTCCAAAATGGATCGAAGTTGGGTAAATGCAAGTCGTATTTCACAAGAGTATGAGAATGGAGTTGAAGAATTTTTGCGATTTGCCGAACACAATGGCACCAAGGTTAATGGAAAATTGTATTGTCCATGCGTTAACTGCGTTAATGGGAGAGTACACACACTAGAGACAATACGGGAACATCTTTTATGTGATGGGATAATGAAGAATTATATCCTATGGACATGGCATGGTGAAGTGATTGATACACCAATAGTAACACAAGCTGAGGAAGAGGAGGATATGACAATGGAAGATCGAATAGAAGACATGATTCGTGATGTAGGTCAAGAGAATTTTCTGCAAGCACATGCTCAATTGTAGGATTCTTTAGAGGAGCAGTATACATAGGGAACATTCGTTCCCCGTGGTCGTGAAGATATATTAACTACTGCTATTGGACGCCCAGAACACCTAGGGCGTGTTCGTGCTGTTGGAGCTGGTGTGGGTATTCGAGCATATTTTGGAGCTCCATCATCAGACCATACCCACACCACATCATTGAGCCAGCAGGAGATGGCCAGATTGGAGGAGAGTCTAACAGCGAAGCTGAGACCAACGATGGTTGAAGAGCTGATAGCGACGCTGACACTAGCCATTACCGCACGAGTTCAGGAGGAGATGATGCGTGTATTTGATTCAAGTCTAGCATCCATAGGTGTCACACAGCCTACCCACCCACCTATGGATGTTCCTCCTCCATCTGCCGCACGAGTTAGCACTAAGGGTAGTTGTGCTGAGCCAAATACTGCTGATCAAGACCTTCCTGCTACTAATCAGGAGGTTGTTGTTGTTGTTGCAGACACTGACCACTCAGGTATGTGTGGATGATATCTTAATGACAAAAATTCATGTGCATATTAAATAATTAATGTCTTATTTTTGTGTAATCGAGTCGGTGTGAATTTTATGTTGATGAGGATGGATCTGAACCACGATTGGTGGCGGTTGGTTCAATTGAAGAGGGGGCCTCTACAATTCATAGTGTGCCTTTAGCACCTAACTTGGCCAAAGTGGTCATTGAAGAGGTTCAAGATGCTTATGCTCTTGTACACTGTGCCCACGACGAGGTGATGACAGTGGGACAGGCCCTCCGGACCTTCATTGCATGGCCTAGACATCTAATCAGGCCTATTTTGAAAAAGGTTTGCATATACTTTCGTTAATTATCATATGTAGTCTCGGTACTCGTTTTTTATTATTTCTCAAGTCAATGTTATTTTATGTAGGATGTTCGAAGCCACCCCAGCTTGCCTAAACTGGTTCCTACTTCCCATACTAGTAAAGGTAAGGAAGTAGATGTCCCGGAAAATCCAATTTTTCAACTACTATCTCGTTGTCCCACAGCTTGTATATTCAATCTTTTCAAGTGAAGTGGGATGTTGATAAGTTAGGGGTAGACAATAAGAACTTTCCCCTTTACATT